TCTCTCTCTCTCTCTCTTTCTCTCCCCCTCTGTCTTCTACTACACCGTCACCCTTCAGCCTTGCTCGTACTTGTACTTCATCGACCTACCATTTTCCAACAGTCTCTTCGACTTCCGCTCTCGCGGCTCCCGCACCCGGTTATTAGCTACATAACCATTTCGAAGCCATCCATCGACGAATTAACTTCCGAGTCTTTTGCTCCCCTTGCACCAGACATTGCCGAGGATTCTCTTCTTCCCTCTCTTCCCGATCTTCCATCAACTTTCTCTAATGCTCAACGAGTCCAATGGGGGGAAAGAAGTCCTGTCTGTTACTGGGTAAGCGACGAAGTATCCGTACCTTCGGATACAACGAGTTTCGCCGGTCTTATTAAAGGAGGCTTCGAAACGTCTCCTTCGATATTGTTGGAGCCAGACTGCCTCTGCTTCAGTCAGATAGCCTGGATTGTCCTTCTGGTGTTTTCCTATGGCTGGCAAACGTTCGGCGGATAGTTCAATTTTATCTCGACGGATTTTTATCGTTTGAATGTCGAAAGGAATAATAATAGAGATTTGATAATTTCAGACTTCAGATTTCAGAGATCATTGAATACTTTTACCCTTCTCGGATGATTTGAAGGGTGATTAATCATTTAGAAGAACTTTTCTTGTAGAGTGTCCTCGTAAAAGTCTTTGGGAAAGTATCTCGTGCAACGATTATTAAGTCGAGCAAATGTTTGCCCAAAACATCGAGCAATTACGTATTCTATAATTCAGGCAATTGCTTAATGAAATTTTATCGTTGATATCGTGGACGTCGCAATTTATTAAGATGATTTATTAACATTCCTATGAATAATTGTGATGTATAAACTACACAAGTCATTACCTCAAATAATTACCATCGACGAGTAATTTCCAATCATTAATTACAATAAAAATCATTATTGACTCAACGATTGTGTATGTACGTGCCTTTCGTAAATCGTTCGACCGATGAATCTCGATTAAATTAAATCACTCGTTATACGTTAACAGTAATTTTTGTTTCTTCGTTACGATTATGATTCAGATTAAATACCGTATCAATTGATGCATTGATATCAAATTGATCGACGAGCAGTTTTCTAAATCGACACACGATACGTCGTTGGGGAAGTTATTGCAGCTATTACGACTTGGAGTAAATATAAACCAGCTGGACGACGTAATTTTGACGTAACGAAAGGATATTGCAAAGTTT